TTTTATGTTCAATTTTTACCTTTTGACAAACTAAGCACTTTGAAACATACTCAACAATATATTTTTTCATTCCTGGCCACCAAAATATCTTTTTCAAATCTTGATACATTTTAGTTGAACCAGGGTGAATTGTGAATTTACTACTATGTGCTTCATTTAAAATTTCTTTTTTCAATTCCTCCTTTCTAGGTACAACAACCCTTCCTTGAAACTTAACCAAACCATCTTCTTTTTGGTAAATCCTTTATGTTCCAACATTTTTTCTAGACTAAGATCCTCTTGCTGAGCTTCTTTAACTTTATTTACTAACTCATTTTCAATCCTTATTTCACTAATACCTAAACTTCAAGGCAACACAATTACAGATAATCTCATGTCCAGAAATTTTTCTAATAACTCCATTTCTTTGATCATTAAATGTGACATATGAAGAGATTTTCTGCTTAAGGCATCAGCCACCGCATTTGCTTTTCCTGGATGGTATTTGAGTTCAAAATCATAATCTTTCAAAAATTTCATCCATCTTCTTTGCCTCATATTCAACTCTTTTTAATCAAACAAATATTTAAAACTCTTGTGATCACTAAAAACTTCAAATTTGACTCCATACAAATATCCAAATCTTAAGGATAAAAACTACTGCATCCAATTCTAAATCATGAGTTGGATAATTTTCCTCATAAGGTCTCAATTGTCTTGATGCATAAGCTACTACTTTCCTTTCTTGCATTAAGACACATCCTAAACCCTTTCTAGATGCATCACAGTAAACCTCAAATTTTCCTAAAGGATTAGGGATTATTAAAATTAGTGCAAATGTTAACTTATTCTTTAAATCTTGAAAACAATCTTCACATTCTTGTGTCCAAACAAAGGGATTCCCTTTCTAGTTAACCTAGTTAAAGGTAACACTGGTTGTGAAAATCCTTTAATAAATCTTCTATAATATCCCGCCAATCCTAAGAAACTCCTGATCTCAGTGATAGTCTAAGGTCTCTCCCAGTGTATTATAGCCTCAATTTTACTAGGATAAACTGTCACTCCTTCTTTTGAAATAACATGCCCCAAGAACTTAACTTCTTGCATCCAGAATTCACATTTTGAAAGTTTGGCATACAATTGCTTATCTTTTAAAATTTGTAATGCTATCCTTAAATGCTCCTTATGCCCTCTTTATTCCTGGAATATATTAAAATATCATTTATAAACACCACTACAAATTGATCTAGGTAAGGTCTAAAAATTCTATTCATATAATCCATAAATACTGCTGGAGCATTTGTCAATCCAAAAGGCATCACTAGATACTCATAATGTCCATATCTAGTCCTAAAGGCTGTTTTTGGAATTTCTTCAGTTTTAATCCTAATCTGGTGATATCCTGACCTCGAATCTATTTTAGAAAACATTGTGGCTCCTCTCAACTGGTCTAAAAGGTCATTTATCCTAGGCAAAGGGTATTTATTTTTAATGGTGACTTTATTTAATTTCTTATAATCCACACACAATCTCATACTTGCATCATTTTTCTCGACACAGAGCACTGGTGCTCCCCAAGGTGACACACTTGGTCTGATGAACTATTTTGATAGAAGTTCCTCTAATTGTTTCTTTAGTTCAACAAGCTCTAGGTATTAGGTCAATAGAGAATTCAATTTCTCTATTTGGGGGTAAACCTGAAATTTCATCCGAAAAAACCTCTGAGTATTCAGAGACAATAGGGATACTGGTTGCATCAGGTTTAGCCTTTGCTTCTGAAAGATTAAAGAGAACATATCCTTTTTCTCCATCTAACAAACTCTTCCTAATTTGGGAAGTTGACAAAAATAAGGATTCACTGGGAAATTCTGATTCTTTTGTGAAAATTATACTTTTATTATGACAATCAATGACCACACAATTAGCGGACAACCAATTCATACCAAGAATCACATCTATATCAATCATAGGCAAACAAACTAAATCTATCTCAAACAATTTTCCTTTGAGTTGAAAATAACAATTTCTACATACTTGAGATGTGATTATATTTTCTCCAGTAGGAAGAAAGATTTCAAGATAAGAAGGTAAAATGAAAATTGGTAATTTTAACGTTTGAACAGAAGATAAGGATATGAAAGAATGAGTAGCCCCAGAATCAAATGGTATAGTTATAAGAAAATCTTGTATTAGACCAGTACCTTTAACCAAATTTGAAGATTGAGTCGCTTCCTGACCACCAAGAGTGAAAACTCTTCCTCTTGTTGCAGTTTGGGTTGATGAATTCTGACCTTGATTCCGAGGACACTGCCTCAACATATGTCCAGGTTTTTCACACTTAAAACATACACCTCTTCCTGCTAGGCATTCTCCAGCATGATTCTTTTTACATATTCTTCCTTCCTCTGTTGTTAGCAAAGTTATTTCCAGAGTTTTGTGCCCGTGAAAACCTCCCTCTGTTGTTGTCATCGTTCTTTCTCCGAATTGAGACTCTGTCTTTCTCTCTTCCATCCTCAGCTTCCTTCATGCTTGCTTCAATGTCTCTGCACCTGTTTACTAATGATGAAAAATTCCAGATTTGAAATCCTACTGTCATACTTTTTAGTTCAGGTTTTAATCCAGATTCAAATTTAGTTGCCAACCATTCTTCATTAGGTTGGTTTTGTACATAATTAGAATATCTGGATAGTTCTTCAAATTTTGCCACATATTCCCCAACAGTCATATTTTCTTGTTTCAGTTCAAGGAATTCTATTTATTTTCTGTTTCTTACACTTTGAGGAAATTATTTTTTCAAAAAGACATCTTTAAATATTGTCCAAGTAATCTCTGTTCCTTGGCTTTGGAAATATCTTTTGGTATTTGTCCACCAATGCTCTGCTTCTCCAATCAATAAGTATGTGGCAAAGTTTACACGATGAGTATTACGACAGTCCATTATCGGAAATATTTTCTCAAGTTCTTTAACCCATTCCATGGCTGCCTTAGGGTTATAATCTCCACGAAAAGTGGAAGGTTTATGTTTACGGAACTCAGTGAGTCCATTATAATCAGAAATAAGTCCTCCCTGAGAATTTGCATTTCTAGGTCCACTTTCACTTCAGAATTATGGGTGTGATTTCTGGTTGCACGATCCTCCCTCAGCTCCTGAATAAATTGCTGATTAGTTACAGTTTGTTCTTTAAGAGCTTCTGTCACTCGGGTAAACGCATCCGTTACTGGGTTAACTTCTGGTTCAGAAGTTGTAGATATCTGCATTGTATCTGCCATAGATCTACATATATTGTTTTATGATAGTGAGTTGATCAGGCTCATTAAAATAACTCAAAATATGCATGATCTATAACAAAATACCAAGCAACTATAATAGTTGAGTCTTTTATTTACCTGAACCGCTGCTCTGATACCATAAAATGTAACATCCCTTAATATTAACTCTTGTAATGGATATTACATGATTACTTTTTAATTTTTTATATTGATGATAAGAAAATTAAAAAGAAAACTATACAAAAGTCTACCAACGTCACTTTATACATGTCACTGAGTCAAGTACATACTGGAAATATTTTACACTGGTCCTACATCCTACTATATATTACATCACTTTATTTATATCTTACATCCTTACATCACATAATTATACAATACATGAGTCTTATCCTAATCTAGTCTATAGGTGCAGGTCTCCACACTTTCAGCATAGAATATTGCAGCAGCTCCTTGATTTCTTACTACAATATAGAATTCCATGCGATCATCGTAAGAGTAAAGATTGATATTCCATCCTTCACCTGACAAGCTTAGGCTAGGCACTATGATTTTCTGAAAAGGTTAGCAACACAAATAAAACATGAGAAAAATTCTCAGTAATATTGAGGTTCTTTTTTTTTTAACTATAACCATTTCCAGCTGTAGTAACAGAAAATATCATTCCCTCAGTTAATAGAAAAATGAAACAGTAATAGAATAATAATAAACACTACAATGTATAATATTTAACTGAAGCTATTTAAATACTCAATTCATGTGGGTCTCCTGCATGTGAAAAGTTCTGTATGGCGGAACTCAAACCATGATAAGGCGTCCCTTACCTTTTAACTGTCTTATCCCAAATTCTATGGATCAGTTCACAGCAGTATCTTACAGTTAAAATTACACATTCTTTTAATATTTATTTGGTACCAAATAACTCATCAACCAGTAATCACCTATTTTTTTTTAAAAAAAAGATTTTAGGACTAATTAATAATAAAGCTAAAGATATGACTAAAATCAAGTAGAGAAGAAATTTAAGAAAGCAATTTGGCAGAATAACAGTACCGTTAAAATTTTTAAAAAAAATAGTGAAAAGAAGAGAAAATGAGGAAGAGTTTTTATCTCTCAATATTACCTTTCTTCCCTTTTTCTTTTTTCTTTTCTTGGTCTCTCTCTTTCGCTACTGTCTTTTCCTTTTTGATACTCTATTTTTTTTTTCTTCAGTTGACAACCCCACCTTCATATATATAGGCAATCAAATTGACTCCTTTTTGACTTGGCCCATCATTACATATATTTAGATTCTAATCAAATTAACTAAATTTCTTTCAAATCTAACTATCCTTTAACAAAAGCAATCTTTAAGAATCTTATTACATCTACCTCATCTTCCAAGTTGCCTCTTCTATATTAGTCCTTATTGTTATTTATTTTTTATATGGTGTATATAAGGATAACTATAATATTACTAATAAAATAATATTTGTAATATATACCACGTAATCTTTTACTGCATATAATAGATATACAATGTTATAATTTCTTTTGTTATTTACTTTTTAGTTAAATTATTATAATACAAATAACAATATTATTTATTGAATACCTATAATATTTACTTATATATATATATTTAATATTTATTTACTACTATGTTATTTTATTCTATTGTTTTTTTTTGCTTTAATATTTAATTACTTATTTATTTATTATTACTAATATAATTATACTTTTTAAAATCAAATACTTTTAACCTCCTCAAAAATATTCTTTCAAATCAAAATGCATAAACAAAGGATTTTAGATTCACCAAAAATCAATAAAAAAATGATTTTAGCTGTAACAGACAATAATATTTTAATTCATCCTCCCCTCTCTCTCTCCCCACTTTTAAGTGGCCCAAAGTGTTAAATTGACTATTTTTTTTTCTAATTTTACATAAAGGTGTTGTGGGCCTTTACTAATTAAAAAGCCAAATGTCCAGCCCAATTAGGAATACACACATAGGGTTCCTTTGTGTAGTATGCTCAGCTGCCATTTGAGAGTGTGAGGAGAGCATTTACGAAGAGAAGAAAGAAGAGAGAGACCAGCAACCAAAACCAGAAAATTCGCAGGTGAAGAGTGGGTGGAGCAGGGTCTGAAGATTCTGTGATATCTCATTCGTTTGTGGTCCGATTGAGCTGAAATTTTTTCAGCACCTTCCCAACTCATGCCTCTTCATTTCTACTGGTCAGAATCTTGATCGGAGGTCTGCATCAGCAGCAGAAAATTGCAAACCGAAGTGGTCTGTGTGCAGAGTTCTGCAGAAGGCAGCAAGGTTGCGAGATTCATCTCTCCCAAATGAACCGTTGATCTGAGATGAAAGTTTGGTACAAGGTTTATAACATACTGTACTAGAGTTTGACCGTTCAGTTTTGCGATTGGAGCTGTCAAGAGGGAAATTATTCAGCTCCAAACAGAGGCCATCATTTTTCTGCTCTGTTCTGGGCAGTGAAGTTCAGAGAGAGGTTTCTCTTTAGTCAACCGTGAGATTGTCCTCAAAATTGGTCAGTGTGTTCCTCTCTTGCTGTTCTTTAATATGACCGTTGCGATTTGGGAGTAGAGGCTTCTATTATTTTAGATTAATTTCGGACAGAAGCTTGGTCATATATGTATGTCTCTTGCATTTTTGGTACAACTAGTTGTGAAGTTTTTTTGATGGTGCTATAGCTGATTGTAATTGCTTTGGAACCTTTTGTAATCTCACTTTGTTGATAGTGGAGAATTTGGGTGGACTCCGAAATCGGTCCCGTGGTTTTTACTCCTAACATTGAGGAGGTTTTCCACGTTAAAATTGACTTGTGTTGCTTGGTGTTTTTGGTTCATGCATAGTTGTCATTAGAACATATATTTTGCTTGTTGGAAACCATTCTAAACAGGTCCTGGAAGGGGAAATTGGTGTTTATTTCCCAACAACGGTTATCAGAGCTTGTGTTATTTTGCCTGTTGACTTGTGATTAAATATGGACGTTAATACAAGTAGAATGGTTACATTGAATGGTTCAAATTATAATTTATGGAAAGGAAAGATGGAAGATCTTCTTTATGTGAAGGAGTATCACTTTTCTGTCTTTGGTACTGAGAAACCACAAAATAACACCGAAGAAGAATGGAAGTTGATTCACAGACAAGTTTGTGGTTACATCAGGCAGTGGGTAGATGATAATGTTTTAAATCATATTAGTGATGAGACACATGCACGGACGCTGTGGAACAAGCTTGAACAACTATTTGCAAGAAAGACCGGTAATAACAAACTCTTCTTGATTAAGCAGATGATGATGTTGAGGAATCAAGAAGGTACTTCTATGACTGACACTTGAATAAATTTCAAGGAATTATTCTCCAGTTAGCGGGAATTGGAATCAAGTTTGAAGATGAAGTACAAGGGTTATGGTTGCTTGGTATTTTGCCGGACTCGTGGGAGACGTTTAGAATGTCTTTATCTAATTCAGCCCCTGATGGTATAATCAGCATGGATTTGGCGAAAGATAGTATCTTGAATGAAGAAATGAGAAGAAAGACTCAAGCTTCATCTTCTAAGTCAGAAGTCTTAGTTACAGAAAGAAAGGGGAGAAGTAAAAGCCGAGGTCCGAAGAATAAAGAAAGAGGAAGAAGCAAGTCTAACAAGTTTGCCAATGTTGAGTGTCACTATTGTGGTTTGAAAGGACATATAAAGAAGTATTGTTGAAAAATAAAGAAAGATAATAAACAAGGGAAAATGAAAGATAACAAGAATGATGAAGGTGGTAAAGATGATCGAGTTGCTACTACCACTTCATATTTTTTCCTCGTTTATGATTGTGATGTCGTTAATCTTTTATGTCATGAGACCAGCTGAGTGATAGATAGCGGTGCATCTATTCATGCTACATCTCGCAGGGATTTCTTTACATCTTACAAATCCGTTGATTTTGGATTTGTCAAGATGGGTAATGATGGCTTGTCCAATGTAATTGGTGTTGGAGATGTGTACTTGGAGACCAGCAATGGCACAAGGTTAGTTTTGCATAATGTTAAACATATTCCTGATATTCGTTTGAATTTGATTTCTACAGGAAAACTTGATGATGAGGGATATTGCAACACCTTCAATGATGGTCAGTGGAAGCTTACTAAAGGCTCCATGATTGTGGCTAGAGGCAAGAAATGTTCATCCTTGTATGTTACAC